TTATCTGTTTAATTACCGGTATCGGTAATTGGGCCTCTTTTTCCCAATCGGTCAACCCCAGGTCTTCCCATGGCCCAAATAAGATGTCCACCACTATATAAATACTATTTCGACCCATAAGAATAATTTATGTGATCTCGGGAATATCGGGCGGCCCCCGCTCCCGGTGTGGGTCCCACGTGCAAAATACTATTCACGTGAAAGGAATAATAAAAATTTACAATTTCGTAAATTCATTAATCCTTTAATAAGGTTCAATACATTATTTTCATAAAAGTAAATATATTTGGGGACGGTGTTACAAGTTCACCCCCCCTTATTTGGGATTTCGTCCCCGAAATCCGAGTATCTAATCGAAAAGAAATGGGTATTGCTCCCTCATTGAGACCTCGGTCTCCCAAGTTTCTTCTTCGACTCGATCACTCCTCCAAAGGACCTTTACCATGGGAATCTCCTTATTCCTAAGCTTTTTCACTTGTTGACCAACAATCTTCACTGGTTCCACCGCATATTGCAAGTCCTCACGGATCTCTACCGGTGGTTTCTCAAGAATATGAGATGGGTCTCGTATGTACTTCTTGAGCATTGATACATGAAACACGTCATGTATCTTCTCAAGTTCAGGCGTCAACTTGAGACGATAGGCCACGGCTCCTATCCTTTCAAGGATCTCAAATGGGCCGATGTATCGGGGGTTAAGCTTTCCCCTCGATACAAATCGAATGATGCCCTTCCAAGGAGAAATTCTTAGGAAGACCTCATCACCGACTTCGAACTCCAACGGTCTCCGCCGTTTATCAGCATAACTCTTCTGTCGGTCCTGAGCAGCCTTCAGTCTATCCCGAATGATCCTCACCTTGGCCTTGGTGATCTCAACCAGCTCTATCCCTTCGAGTTTGGCCTCGCCAACCTCGTCCCAACACAATGGTGTTCTGCATTTCCTCCCATACAATGCCTCATATGGAGGCATGCCGATACTTACTTGATAACTGTTGTTGTAAGCAAACTCCACTAGGGCCAAATGCTTGTCCCAACTTCCTTGGAACTCCAAAGCACATGCCCTAAGCATGTCTTCCAAAATCTGTATCACCCGCTCGGACTGTCCATCCGTCTGTGGGTGAAAAGCTGTGCTAAACTTCAGTTTAGTACCCAGCGATGCTTGAAACTTTGGCCAAAATCGGGATGTGAATCGTGGATCCCTATCCGAGACAATGGATATCGGGACTCCATGTAATCTCACAATCTCCTCCGTGTAAAGCTTGGCCAATCTTTCAAGAGGATAAGTAATGTTGATAGGCAAAAAGTGTGCACTCTTGGTGAGCCTATCAACCACTACCCAAACTGCATCATAGTTGTTCACTGTTCGTGGTAGCCCCACCACGAAGTCCATGGTCACGTGCTCCCACTTCCACTCTGGGATGGTGAGTGGCTGCAAAAGCCCTGCCGGGTGCTGATGCTCTGCCTTAACTTGCTGGCAAGTAAGGCACCGACTCACATACTCAGCAATGTCTCTCTTCATACCTGACCACCAGTAACTTTCCTTCAAATCTCGGTACATCTTAGTACCTCCTGGATGCATAGCATAAGCTGAAGAATGAGCCTCCTCAAGTATAGATTTCTGGAGTTCCTCATTCCTTGGTATGCACACACGATCCTTAAACAATAACAGACCGTCATCACGTACCCGGAAATTCTCAACGGGCCCCGCAAGGATCCTTTCACGGATCTTCTGACATTCCTCATCCATGGCCTGACTTCGACTAATCTCGCCCAATAGGGTGGGCCTAACATCAAATTGAGCAATGAGAGCCCCGCACGTGGACACCTCCACGCGTGCCCTCAATGCCTGCAGACAAGTAAGTAACGTCCCTGACGTACTCTTCCTGCTCAGTGCGTCGGCCACTACGTTGGCCTTTCCGGGATGATAGTCGATGATCAAGTCATGGTCCTTGATCAACTCCATCCATCTCCTTTGTCTCATATTCAACTCTTTTTGAGTGAATACATACTTCAAGCTCTTATGATCGGTATAAATGTGACACGTTTCCCCGTAGAGATAATGCCTCCAAATCTTCAATGCAAACACTACCGCCCCCAACTCTAGGTCGTGAGTAGGGTAGTTCACCTCGTGTTTTCTCAATTGCCTAGAAGCATAGGCAATCACCTTACCGTTTTGCATTAGTACACATCCAAGCCCTTGGATGCTAGCATCGCTGTAAATGTCATACCCTATCCCCTGTATGGGTAGGGCAAGGACTGGTGCTTCGGTAAGTCGTTTCTTCAGTTCAAGGAACCCTTTCTCACACTTGTCGTCCCATATGAACTTGGCCCCTTTCTTTGTGAGCTTCGTTAATGGAGACGCCAATACGGAGAATTTTTCAACAAATTTACGATAGTATCCCGCTAAGCCAAGGAAACTACGTATCTCTTTCACATTCTTGGGTCTCTCCCAATCCATGATAGCTTTTATCTTTGCGTTATCCACAGCTACGCCCGAACCGGATATGACGTGACCGAGAAAACCAATCTCCTTGAGCCAAAATTCGCATTTAGAGAACTTGGCAAAGAGTTGCTTTTCCCTTAGCCGATCAAGTATAAGCCCCAAATGATGCTCGTGCTCCTCCTCACTCTTGGAGTATATCAAGATATCATCAATGAATACTATCACAAATTGATCTAAGTATTCACTAAACACCCGGTTCATCAAGTCCATGAATGCCGCCGGTGCGTTGGTTAAACCAAATGACATTACAAGGAACTCGTAATGACCATACCTAGTGCGGAATGCACTCTTAGGTATGTCGCTCTCCTTGATCTTCAACTGATGATACCCCGACCTCAAATCAATCTTCGAGAACACTATTGCCCCCCGAAGTTGGTCAAACAAGTCATCAATCCTCGGTAAGGGATACCTGTTCTTGATTGTGACCTTGTTCAATTGTCGGTAGTCAACACACATTCTTAGTGTACCATCCTTCTTCTTCACGAAGAGTACGGGTGCCCCCCACGGTGAATGACTGGGTCTGATGAACCCGTTGTCCAGTAATTCTTGTAGTTGGACCTTCAACTCTTGGAGTTCGGCCGGTGCCATTCGATAAGGAGGAACCGAAATGGGTTTGGTTCCCGGCTCCACTTCAATTACAAACTCTATCTCTCTGTCGGGTGGAAGCCCCGGTAGGTCTTTGGGAAAGACATCCGGGTACTTGCACACGATCCGTACATCTTTGATGTCGACTTCCTTCTTGGTATCGTCCACCACGTAGGCAAGGTACGCGTGGCATCCCTTCCTCATCATCTTCCGTGCTCTCATCACGGATATGATACAAGCACTAGATTTCCCCCGATCTCCCTCAAAGCATAGCGTGTTCCCTTGATCATCCTCGAGCTCCAACACTTTGGTGTAGCAATCTACTCGGGCATGGTGTTTCTCGAGCCAATCCATTCCTAGGATTGCATCGAACTCCAACATGCTTAGAGGTACGAAATCACAAGTCAAAGGTTGACCCGTCACTTCTACCTCACACGACGGATAGTAATGATTTCTCTCCACGTCGTCTCCTAACGGTGTGGAGACTAGCAACGTTTGAGTCATAGGTGTCAATGGCACGTCAAGGCCCTCGGCGAACGCCTTACTCACAAATGAGCGTTGTGCCCCGGTATCGATGAGGATCCTCGCACACCTACCATTGATCTTTAATGTTCCTACATTTATACACCATGTAAGATACATTTTCTAATGTTTTTACACATCATTAGGATGTTATTAGGTTCATACAAATGTTTGGAATCAAACGGGGGTCCAAACGTAGAAGAACGGGGCGAAAAAATCAACTTTCGGGTGTTGGGGGTCCACGCACGGCGTGCCTGGGTGGCAGGCACGGCCGTGCGTGCAACAAACTCACCCTGCTGTCCACTGCCGGCCAGGCACGATGCCAGGCACGGCGTGCCTGCGGCCGTGCCTGGCCAAAACTTCTTCGGACACCACTGCCTCCCAGGCACGACGCCAGGCACGGCGTGCCTGCGGCCGTGCCTGGCCCAAAATTTTTTTTTTTCCTTTTTCCTCTTCGGGTGCCACTGCCTTCCAGGCACGATTCCAGGCACGGCGTGCCTGAGGGCGTGCCTGGCCGGCAGTGGCTGTTTCCAGCCAGATTCGGCCTAACTCACCCGGTTCGACCCCGGGGTGGCCCACACTCAATCCCAACGACGTATATGATCAAAGTAAGCCTAGAAATACATGGGAATACGCGTATTACCTGCAACGGAGTCCGGGTTTGCTCTCGCATCCGCCTCGGTCATCGCGTAGACTCGTGCTTGGGTCCCGCCTTGGTTTACGGACGCGGCATGACTTGTGGATGCGTTGCCTCTTCCCGTACCGCCGTTTGACGGGCCCGCACGGTTTCTTCCCGTCATGGTTCCTCCTCCGGATCCCGGAGCTCCTCCTCCCCCCAATTGTGGGCAATTGGCCTTCATGTGGCCCGTGTTCCCACACCGATAACACCTCGGGGGTGCGTTGCACTTCCCGAAGTGGTTCTTTGAACAGTTGGCACACTTAGGAGGCCCCGTATTTTGAGAGGAGGATGCGTGCCACCGAGCATCCTTGTTCTTCTTCGCCGGTGGTGCCGGCGCCTTGAACGTACCCCCACCCCCACCGTGGTGATTCTTCCGTGCTTGCTCGGGCGGCCCCGAATTATGCCATTTTCTCTTTTTCGCCTCCTCGGCGTCTCTTTCTTTTCTCTCATTCCATTGAGCCTCCCCAAGAAGGCCCTGCTCCACCACCTCGCTAAAGGTCATGTGGCGTGAGTACGTAGCCCGATCACGGATGTCCAAGAGTAAGGCATCCCAAAAGTGCTCCGACATGCGGTCCTCATTGATCGCGTACTCCGGTAAGAACCTAGCCAAGGTTCTAAAATCTTGCTCCAGTTGTTTAACAGACACACCCTCCTTCTGTTTGAGGTTGGTGTACTCCCTACGCTTGACATTTTTCTCATAGTCAGTGTAGTATTGGTCATAAAACTCCTGCTCAAAGTTCAACCATGAGACCTCCCCATGGTATTTTCCTTCCACACTCTCCCACCACGTGGAAGCTATCCCCTCAAGCAGCCGTGAAGCAACAGTCAACTTCACGTCCGGTGAAATTTGCATGTCCTTTGCCGCATCCTTCACCTTCTTTATCCAATCGGCGGCAACGGTAATGTCACCGGTGCCGTCAAAGGACTTACACCCCAAGGCCCTAGCCTCCTTGAGGTACTTGGAGATTCTCACACAAAAACCTCCTTCACGCCCACCATGTGACACCGCGAGGGTGGCCCTTGAAGCTCCCCGGCTTCCTTGACCCGAACCACCCCGAGAGCCACGCCTTGCTTGGCGCCTAAGGTCTCTCCTCAGCTTTTCTTTTTGATACCACTCAAGCAATTCGCCCATTTGGGCGAACTTGGCATCACTCTCTTCATCATCATCATCGGTGTATGTGTCACCCCCATCATACGGGGTCTCCTCATGCTCCGTTTCTGGAACGTAGGTTGAGTCATAGTCCTCGGTGTTGGTTTCATACACCGAGCTTACATGACCATCACTCACAGTTTGAGCTTGATGACCTCCACGGCTTCCACGGCCTCCACGGCCTCCTCTTGAACCCCGAGATGCAGCCCGGCTTCCCCTTTGGGATGCTACCGGCGCCTGCCCCCTCGGATTGTTCCTGATCCTCATTCGCCTGCCCTCCATTTCTGAAAGAAATATGGATGAGTCATTAGACTCCTATAAATGTCAATTGACGGAAAAACGTTACAGACACGTATTGGCCCAAGTCACTACCATACCAATTGTTAAGGGTACCGTCTTAACAATTAGAGGCCTTGCAACTTAAGCACCAATAGTCCTATAAACGTCAAAATACAATGCTCATGGTTTTCGGCAAAAACTCTTTTGTAAAATCTTTTGTGAGAGGTTGATTATATAGTTTAGAACTGAGATGGCTCTGATACCACTTAATTGTCACGCCCCAGACCGCAATCCAAGCGCGTGTACAACCGCCGTATAACTAAGTGACGTCACCCACGAGTCAACCTCACTCAATTACACAAGGCGTTCGAGAAAACAATCCATCCATACTCAGTAGTAAACATACATAACAACATCACATTTAAACCAATGAATAGCGGAAAATATTCAACGGTAAGTCATAGGCCACAACCGGCCAACAACATGGGCATGCAAGCCCCAAAAATAGTTTATAGTAGAACAAATATCCATGAGCAAGTGTTCGGTAGTTTGAAAGAAAATAAGGAAGCACGAACCACGTCTTCCTGATTTGATACCACCCGTGAGAAGGTGCAAGTAGCAAGCCCTAGCTTCAACCTGAAAATGGTGGGGCCCCCCGAAGGGGTCAGTACAAGTACCGAGCGAGTAGCAGGCTAAATATAGAATAACTAGCGTTTCAAGTATAAGACCCAAACATAGGGTGATACTTAAATAGATAGTCTTTCCCCCAAGTTATGAAATACTTATTAGTATAAATATATACTTGGAAAATATCCGATCCGTAGATCACCATTTTATTTGGGAAGAATAGTAATAGTCAATATTCTTGACTAAAAACCCCAACCCACCCATACACCAATGAGTGTATAGGACTCCTCCTTGTCCCTATTTCAATATCATAATCTATGAGTTTTGAGGATCATAATCCTTGGGTACTCCACCGGTTTGCGAGTGTTAAGGACTCATAAGTCCTAGGGTCCTCCACCAAGCTTTGAGTGTTAAGTACTTTTAAGTACTAGGGTCCTCCACCAATTTATAATCCGAGTGTTAAGGACTTTAAGTCCTAGGGTCCTCCACCAAATTTTGAGTGTTAAGTACTTTTAAGTACTAGGGTCCTCCACCAAGTTTGAGTGTTAAGTACTTTTAAGTACTAGGGTCCTCCACCAAGTTTGAGTGTTAAGTACTTTTAAGTACTAGGGTCCTCCACCGGCCAATTTATAATCCGAGTGTTAAGGACTTTAAGTCCTAGGGTCCTCCACCAAATTTTGAGTGTTAAGTACTTTTAAGTACTAGGGTCCTCCACCAAGTTTGAGTGTTAAGTACTTTTAAGTACTAGGGTCCTCCACCAAGTTTGAGTGTTAAGTACTTTTAAGTACTAGGGTCCTCCACCAATTTATAATCCTATGATCAACCTTCTATCAACCTAGATAGAGTTTATATCACACTTAGTTACTCATAACTAATTCAATACATAAAGCTTATGTATCACAATCCATGCAAACCATGCGATTCTATAAATGCATAACTAACTAATATCAACCGATATTAATTAATCCATTATCCACCGGTCAACGGTGTCGTTGACCGCCATTTCAAGTCTTACACTTATCGACTTAATCATCATGTAATTAAATTGATAATGTTCATTTGGTGTTCCTTATACCTTCCAAACAAATATGGATTTTATGTAATTCCTCATATCATATTCCATGCATAAATCATTTATTTCTTTTATACAAACTTAACCCTATTGGCTAATCACATGTTTAAATATCTTTTAAACATCATTATGAACTCATATAACATTTATTTAGGTAATCTCATAATTAACCCAAAAGTTATAAGATATTAAGCCGTCCACTCACCTTGAACTAGTGTATGTAGTTCTACCCTTCTTGGTTGAACTCCGGTGACACTCCGGCGACTTTTGGTCAACTCCGGCGACAATTCCGGCGACTTTCCCAACTTTGTGAAATCACTTGAAATACCTTTCACAAGTTCCTAACAAGGTTTTATAATCATAAAACCCTTATTAATACAAATAACCTCAAAACGGTCATTTTCCGGTGAACCGGTCGTTTTGGCTTCTAAGTCCGTTCTTGGACATAGAGTCACTTTCCAACCCATTAATCCATACTTATAACATGTAGAATCCTCTTAAGGATTCTTCACATGATGTATATCTCATATGGTAGAAGAAAAATAAAGAAGAAGTTATAATAAGGTCATTACCTTAATCTTTTCACACTTTTAGCACCTTAGCTCCTTTCCTTGGGATTCCTTCTTGTTGAGCTCTCTTCAACAATGGAGAATGAAGGAGGGTGGTTTTCTTCTTCTTCCTGGGTATTACTTGGCCGAGAATAAGGGAGAGGGAGGGGTGAGGGTAACCTTTTGTTTCATTAAGCAAATAAGTGTGGATGGGATCCACCTTATTTTGTTTGATGCTCTTCCTTTCACTTCACACACCACTCACATGCTCTCCCCTCACTCCAGCCGGCCAAACTTTGAATTTGGGTGACCAAATTCGTGGGTTGGCCCCCACCCAAGTGGGAGGTCAACCCCTTTTGTCCCGAAGTGTACAATCGGTCCCGAAAGTTGTATTTTTCGGACTGTTTTAAATATATTTTATTTTATCGGGTCAAATAAAATATATTATGTGCTCTTACTCGTTATGACATGTATAATGAATATACGTTCCCCAACTTTAATTTACAAGCCTCCGAAATTCAGTTCGGGCTGTTATCTGTTTAATTACCGGTATCGGTAATTGGGCCTCTTTTTCCCAATCGGTCAACCCCAGGTCTTCCCATGGCCCAAATAAGATGTCCACCACTATATAAATACTATTTCGACCCATAAGAATAATTTATGTGATCTCGGGAATATCGGGCGGCCCCCGCTCCCGGTGTGGGTCCCACGTGCAAATTACTATTCACGTGAAAGGAATAATAAAAATTTACAATTTCGTAAATTCATTAATCCTTTAATAAGGTTCAATACATTATTTTCATAAAAGTAAATATATTTGGGGACGGTGTTACATAAAAAGAATGGAACTACAGTGTATACACTTGGTTACCTAAGCAGAACATTCAAGAAAGAATGTTTGGATAAAGAACCTAGCCTCATAAAAACAACTTTTTTACCAAAGCAAACTTGGTAATATTTGGTTTGCGGAAATATACAGTCATACTTTTCATCAAAATTTAGTTTGCTAAGCATACCCTGTTTGTTTTTCAATTTTCACATTGTCCCTGCTCCTTCACAAACGACATTACACATTGAACTCATGAGTTTTGAATCTAAAAAATGCATGTTTTTTATTTTGTATAGAGATAAATCAAGAAAATAAAGCATTGAAGAACATAGTTATTGATAAATAGTAATTAAAAACAACTGCTACAATCTGTGGATTTGTGGTGAAGCTTCATAAAGGGATATTCCATCAAATATGAAGGCCACAAAAATGAGAGTGGTTATTAGTCATTACTATTAAAACTATCTAAACCAAACTTGTTGCCTTAGTAGCGAGTCTAGTGACGTATTTTAGGACTGGAATATGGTGTGTTTTTTAACACCTGGACATTCTTAAATGGTACATTACATGTATGGAAGAAGAAATGTGATCATATTTTGAAAACTCGGATTAAGTCATGCCCATTTAGTAAAGCTCACGAAAATAATCAGATAAATCGCAACCCCATGAGGCCACAACAACAACATCCAAGCCTTAATTCCAAAAGATTTTGGGGTCGGCTAACAATATCGATGCCATGACCAAAAAGTGTCCACAGCCTATATTTTTACCAATTTGTAGGAAAAACCTTAACCTTAAGATGCAGATGACATTTTGATCTAGTGCAAAGTTCATATCCATCTGCTTGAAAAGAAACATTAATTCCACTTTGAATATATTTCATACAGATTACAGAACAAAGATTTTGATTTAAGCTGGTGCGGGATGAATCTGTTTAGCCAAGCAGGTTATTGACTTAAAGCAAAAAGTCTACAAAACAATCAGATAGTTTGATTAAAAATACTATTTCTAATCAAACTAAATCAAAGATAGTAAAATAAAAATGAAATTCACGCTAAAAATGAATCTGTAAACTTACCACGTTCGTGTGAAATTGGTCCCTTTTCTTTGGATTCACAAAGTTGGGAGATTTCCTCCGAATAGAGTTAGGTGCTGTGGAGATTGGTCTGGATGGGGGAGGATATGTGAATTTGAAAGAAAATCGATTGTCTTGGAGGCACCGACGGATGTTGTGGCGGTGATATCCATTCCGGAAAACACTTGCTCCTCGGACTTACTGACCTCAAGCTGTCGCTGGGCCATTTCCCTTCATCTTCTTCTCCATGAGGCCCTGGGACGGAAGAAAGAGATGGCAAAGACTTGCAGCAACAGAAGCAAAGAGATCGGCGATACGGAGTAGTACATATTTTTTAAATGAACGGTATGGATCATTTTAAAATGAAGGGCTGAGATGCATTTGTATTCCTATTAAGTATAGATCAGAGGATTTTTTCTTTATTTTATTAATGAAATATATTTCAAAAATAATGTTTTCTTAAATCAGCAAAATCAGCCAATGCAGCCACTTCAGCCAGAACTTCATAAATTTTAGCAGAATCAGCAAAATCAGCTGATTTTTGTTCTACCGAATGGGCTCTACGTAAAAATAAGTACTAATGACTCAATTAACTAATTATTCTTAAATATACATAAGTTATTTCATCCTAGATCATTACCATACATAACTCAAATCGATTACATAGGTGCTCGGAATTGCATATTATGTATATATGTATATATTACTAAAATAACAAAAGTTTTGATATGACGTCAGTTTACCGTAGAAGTAGAAAGTAAATATTATCATGATCACTTTAAAAAGAAAAAATAACTAGATCGGTGTGTGTATTACGAGTCATATATTATATTATGGTCATCACCTTCATTTAGTTATGTCATTGTCATTAATTTTTAAGGTATTGATTGTGTTTGAAACGACTTGTCAATAACTTTTTAGCATGTTAAACCATATGTAACTAGTGTAAATCGTGAAATAATTAAATACTTGTTCGGCAAATGACTTGTTGGCTTGAGTAGTTGGTCCAACAATCTAAAATCTAAAAAACTATTATTAACACAGTTTGTGTTGATTGTTGTGTAAATTTAATTTTGTCTAAAATTAATCCTATTTTTTTATTGTAAAATAGTTTTTCATATATTGCTTATACGAGTATGAATCATTTCATGTTTGCTAACTACTTCTAGTGTAGTGTGTGTAGTAATTCATTTCCGTTGTATGTGGTACTTGTACGCTAAAACATTGTGTTGTAATATGGAGTATAGTTTATGATTTTCCTTATCCTAGTATATACAAATTGAACAACTTACTATTTAAATTAATAGATAATACTAATTAACAAAATTATGAATTATAAATGACACTGAATGGTTAAAGTTAAGTTTAGTGTTCAAATATACTTGCCCTACAAAATTCTAAATTTCAACATTTTCTCCTATTATATTTTATTGCTTTTTAATTTGATAACTTGACATTTTATATACAAGACTTGGTTGTTGTTGTTTAGGGTTTGATTGTTTGAACCTAAAAGTCTACATGATTTCAGTTGTTGTTATTTTAGGCAGAAAAGGGGCTTAGTGTCTTACTATTAGGTTTAGGTGAGATCGACCTACCTATTGGAGCAAAAAAAAACATTAACATCTCGATAGGTCATAAATCATAGTTCTGACTGTTAATACCGAGTCAGTAAGTACATAGCAACTTATGTTTTAATTAGTTCTATTGGTGATCGAAATTTGAACTTTTATTATGTATATAATTATATTATATAATAGAGTAATCCATTTTCTCAATTTAAGTTTCTCGGATATTACTCGGGTAGTACAATGACTTTAACTTTCAATTTTCGGGATGATGATTTTGTATGACTTAATAAATCTTTAACTTAATTTACATTTTTATCTTAATTTATACTCTGTAGTGAGCACCTCCCATGTGTCTTAAATTTTATATGTATGTATATTTATTTCGGATTTGAGACATATGAAATGATCATTAATCAAATAGGTAAAATTTTGCACTTAAGAATGACTAGCACATAAATTCCACAGTTAGACATATCTCTTACACATGGTCAATTTTACTTCTCAAAGTGTAAAAATGTTGATCATGTGGTTTTCACAACCTGTGGTTAATGTGAAAGTAACCCAAAATGGTCTTCCAAAGAAAAATGTAATGTTTACATACAACTATGAAGGTAAAGTATTAGATAGTTTACCTAAATCATTTTATGGCATCTTTGCTAGGTCTTTGGATGTTGGTTCACAAAAAAAAATGTATGATTAATGTTCTAATGTTAGGTCTTGAGATTATGTATTTATGTGGGCTGTTTCATGCATAGCCTGAATGTCATGTCTAAAAATCATCATACAAGGCATCAATGAGTGTGCATATTCTAGAGTGACTTGTGAATTGTAATGATAATAATCATTAAGAGTCTAGAACCATTATTAGAAAGGGTTGGTGTATTTTTTCTTCATTCAATATTTACCCATGCAAAGTTGGATTATAGCAATATCAAGAGTAATAAGTGGGTCTGGGTTGCAACTTATCTTATTCGGTGATGATAGACTAAGAAATATCTTAATGACAAGTAAATATTCATAATGTTGTTCTTCGTGACATATGTGTTCATCGGGGTTATGTTATGCATTCTCTATTCCTTATGGTACTCGCTTCGTTCCTTATAATTTTGTCAAAATTGACTGACATGTAGCACAATAAAGTAAAAACTGTGTGATTGAAATTTGTGCAGAAGAGGCAAAATAAACAAGAATCACAAATTCTTTATTTAAAATAATTTTATCAATCCAGGGCCTGAATGATACGGAGTATATGAGTTATCAATTTGAGACTTGAAAGATGAAATGTGTCAAAATAGGTTCAGAATGATTGAAAACTATCAATTTAGGACCTAAGTTGTCATGATTTTTTTATTTTGAATTTTTTAAATCTTATTTAGTTACATTAAACTAATAAAGTTTTGTGAAGAAAATGTCATCAAAAATTAGCAATGGAATTAATATAAAATTAAATACATCAAAATCTATGGAATTTTAGGTTCTAAATTGATAGTTTTCAATCATTCGGGCCCTATACCGACAAATTTTATCTTTCAGGTCTCGAATTGATAATTCATCTATCTTTCAAGCCTTGGATTGATAAAAATTCTTATTTAAAAAGTGACAAAACCAGCGAGACAATAAAAAACGAAATTAGAAAAAAAAATGAGAGGAAATATATATCTACATCTATATATTATATAATTGGAGGTCACATAAACACCTGTCACTCCATTATTCACTGCTGCTATATGTCACTGAGTCACTCTAATATATCTATTGTTAGATACCTTCACCTTATTATTATATACATATAATAAATCTTCTACATAAAATCAAGGAAAAACTATCAAATAAGTCCTCGTACTATATCAAAAAAGTCAATCAAGTCCCCGTACTAAATAATCGCTCAATTAAATCCTCAAACTATTATAAAACACTCAAACTAAGTTTTTAACCGGTTGGATACTTATTAATACCAGTAATTGCTGATGTGGCTGACATGTCATAAGTTCTTTTTTTGCTTTTATGGTCAATTGACCGTATCAAACATAGATCTGGTGCTGTTAATTCTGGACTGTTCATCTGTTACCATATGCTCCTTGGACTGTTCATCTTCTTCTTGGCGAAGGTGGTGATGATGAAGCCGTTGAAAAGTGTGACCAGAGAGTTCAAGACTCACCCATATCCTCTTTCTATCACCTTCGGTAGTAAGGATTTGAAGTGTTCTTCATGAATGAGAACATTATTCTACCTTTTGATGGAGATTATTAACCTGATTTTTCGATTTGTTATAGAGAAATATTCAATCTTCAAATTCTTATTTATTGGATGTATACTGGTCTGCTCAGAATATCAACATTAAAATGAATGCGTGAATTGGATGCCGAATGAGGATCTCCAAATGCATTCAATTTGGGAAACATTTCCACCATGGTTGTCTATTGGTGTTCTAACCCAGCCAATGCTTTGCCCAGTCACCCACCGGAGCACCAAATCTCACCACTCCGCCGCTCCGCCGCCGATGAAGGGTTGAGGATGAACAAGAAGTCTTTGGTAAAACTGTAGGTTACCTTTTCTTGGATAGAGAGGCGGTGGTCCCCATGGCCGATTGCTAGCTAATGCAGAACGAAGAAGATGCAGTTGGGTGAGAAGAGAGAAGAATAATTATAATTAAATTGAATAAAGAAAGAAAATGAAAAAAAGTAAGTTTACTCACGTAGATTGCCACATGGACTGAGTAACTTGTTAACCGGTTGCCTCCCGGTTAAATAGTCAATTTGAACATCTTTTAGAAGTTGGAGGACTTGATTGAGTGATTATTTAGTACGAGGATTTGATTGACTTTTTCAATATAGTACGAGGACTTATTTGATAGTTTTCCCTAAAATCAATACAAAAATTCACTGTTCATGCTACAGTAAATTCACCGTTCATGCTACAGTAATCCGGCCTATAGTCCCTGCGCATCTCAACCGTCCATTGAACAAACATCTTTCGCTGAACCAGATCAATCACCGCCTCTTTCATCTCTTGTTTATTTCGTCAACCTCCATCTCTACCGCTTCTCCATTTTCTCTCCCTCTTCATCCTCATCAATCTCAATCCAGATCAATCCCTACACCATCCCCTGTCCCCACCCGGATCTCCTCATCAATCTCAATCCAGATGGACTTCTCCCGATCGTTTTGCATTTCTCTCTTTTACACCTTGCAGAATGAGAGTAGTGTAGCAGCGAGGAAGAGGAAGATGTACTACTCAGGGGCAACTTTTATATTCTCCATCGTCTTCGTCTTCTTGGGCTCTTCGCTCATAGGAATCACTCCGAGTTTAGAAGCATGAAAGCAACTCCTCTCTCCACCCGGGTCTTAAAATTCAGGTTTTAATTCATGTTTGAATTTTCTTTAAAATTAGTAATTTAGTTCTTGATTCAGATTTTGACCCCCATATTTATTTATGAACTAATAATGCAAGTAAACTTCATCTTAATTATATGCTTACACCAAACTAGAAAAGATGCAGTTTTTTTTATTGAAGTTATTGTAAAGACCTGTTACTTAAATCTAATATCCCTAGCAGACATAAATTTTCATTGTTTCTCCTCCTCCATTTCAATTCAATCAGTCTATGGTTGCCCATAATTCTTCTCCATGATCCTCATCCTTTTTTCTCTCAGTCGCTCCCAGACAGATATATTCCATATTTCCATATCTTCTTCATTTTGTTATCTAATTCTTACCAATCAGTATATGGCAAATCATCTATTTGTATGCAGATCAAATAGGAATGATTTTTTTGTGAAAGATTGCAGATCATTTACTGGAGTTTTAAAATACATAAGGAATGAATTTTTGTGAAAGATTGCAGATCATTTACTGGAGTTTTAAAATACATAAGCCATGTGAGATGAAATGATTTAGTACACTAGCATATTTCATTTTCAATTAGAGAAGTAGATAGTTGAAAAAAGATGACACTTAGGAATGATTTTTTGTGAAAGATTGCAGATCATTTACTGGAGTTTTAAAATACATTAGGAATGATTTTTTGTGAAATATTGCGGATCATTTACTGGAGTTTTAAAATACATAAGCCATGTGAGATGAAATGATTTAGTACACTACTACACTTGCATATTTCATTTTCAATTAGAGAAGTAGATAGTTGAAAAAAGATGACACTTATGCTCAGTGCATTTAGTTAAATTAAAAATATGGTTACCCGGGAAAAAAAATAAAAAAAATAGAGAAGTAGATAGTTTTATAGCATGTTTGTTATAACTCCTCAGTCAACAATGTCTGGTATGTTGCATATTTAGAATGTGATAAATATTTATGGTTCCTTAATTGAATAAATTTGAAAAGTTAGAATATATCTATTACTGGTGATTACATGCAGTCTTCTAAGAATACATTTTTTAATTTTGACTGGTGTGTTAGGAACACCTTAGTATTTACATAGCCTCTAATTGAGCCAAAAAACATGTATTCAAGTTATAAGGTTAGTGCCATTGAACATTTCAGAATTCAGTTTACACTTTATCTTTTGTTCTTCCAATTTAATGTATTGGTTGGATCAAGCTATTTGAGTCTGATTTTTGTCAATCTTTGAACTCTAAAATTAAATTTAGCCTCACTCTATCTTGAAAATAGCCCAAAGGACGAGAGCTGATAATATTTAAGAGGTTTTAAATTCTAGCATGCTCCACTCATAATATATTACTCTCATTGAGTTTGTTATCTAATTCTTATCAATCAGTATATGGAAAATCATCTATTTGTATCATCTTCTCGCAAATCATCAACTGGCCAAAATCATTTACTCGAGTTTTAAAATACATAAGCCAAAATCATTTTTTGTTTCATATAAAAGTAATCATTTTTTCATTTTAGAAGCTTTAAAATACATAAGCATAAATCATACTACGTATAAATTTATAGCTTAATCATGATACTTTTTGTATCTATGACCTTTCTAATCACGAGTCTTTCATCATGGATGCTTATTAACAGCCAAGAAATGTATAAATGACGGTGAAGAGAAAAAAATGAGTCACAAAGAGATGCTTTTGGAGGCTGCCTGGACAGGTTATGGTGATTCTTTGTATGTTTTATTCATTTTTACACTTGTGTGCTTACTTTCTGAGGCAAAGATTTTAAAACTCAACTATCACTCCTTTAGATTTTAATGATTGACAACTTAAAACTGAACTATTACTACTTTGGATTCTTTGGTTTTGTTTCCTTAATTTTCTTTTTGAAATCCAGGAATGCAATTTGATAGTATTGCTTGAAATAACTAAAAATACTTTAAGTAAGACATGCATTAAAAATTCTGAAATTTTCTGTTAACAATCTGAAATGTGATATAATCCTATAAGTGATCATAATGGAATCATGTATGCTATGATTGAGTTTGAAATATCCAACATAATCTGAAACCTAATGAAGTTGGGAATTATACCAATGTTGCAATTAAGAAGAAGACTCCTCATAGATTTCTTCTGTTTTCTGCTTGCTGTGTGTATATGTATACATCAGTTTCATGGAATAGCTAGGGTGCTTCTACCAAATTAGTTTTTCCTTCTTAGTTTATTCCAATTAGTAGTCACTATTTATGTTGAGTACTTTTCAGCTTAAAAACAGGTATGAGAAAAGAGAATTTCATGTGTGAAAGTAAATGAGTACTTTTCAGTTTGAAAACAACTTTTCAATACCTGGATTAGGAATGATTTTTTGTGAAAGATTGCAGATCACAGTTTACTCAATGAAACTTCTATTTTGATTAACAAAGATTTATATTGAAGTTTGCATTTCACACATTACTCAATAAAGCTGTCAAGCTGCTATTTGTATTAATCCAAAACTGCTATCAAACTAAATCATTACTTCCCTTGAAACATTTTTTGTCATCAGTAAACACATTAAGCAAAGGTTATGTACTCCAATGTGTCCATACTCAATAGACATTGGAAGAAAAAAAATTGAAATATAATTGAGTGAACCCGGTTAGTAATGATTGAGAACACCGGCATGAAACGGGAGTGTGTAAATTTTTAGTTGTGTTGAATTACATAAACACCAGTGGACTATTCTGTTTGTATTCCCTGAAGGTTTTCTAAGCAGCTCTTTTTACACTTCAAGTTTTATGTCTTATATTTTGCAAGTAATATGTTTGACAAAATGCTTAGGTGATCTTATTTGTTTCTATTCACTGTTTTTTTTTTCAGATCCTTAAATTTGAATAGGATTTTAACACTCAGTTATTCTATTCTGACTTTATGAGCATATACGATTCCAAGCTTGAGTTTTAATTTTTTTAACAATCTTTGATTTTGGTTAGAGTTATTGGAAATATAGTTTTCAAATAAGCTTCATTTTTAATGTTTTTACAATCTTTGTCAGAATCTTTGACTGAGGACTTCAAAGTTGCTGATTTAATACAACCGGTAGCTGCAAATTGAAGTAACGATGCGTTGTATAAGTTCTGGAGGAGAATGTCTAAAACTAAGGCATAATTTTTTTTAAACTCTTTTTAGGTTTTCTATACACTGGCAACTTCACAAAACTTATGACAATACAATTTGTGCTAACGGAAAGTGAAGGAAATGGAGCTTCTTCATACTATTTTCTTAGGCAGTAAATCTAATGTAAGGACATGCTTGAGAGTATGGAGATTTTATATTTTAGTTTTGATCCAGTCTCAAATTGTTAAAACACTCTTTAGTTGTCTTAAGAATTTATCAAGCACTATAAATAGCTACACATAAAACACTCTTTAGTTTACAGTTTTTAAAACTACTTTTCGAATAATTAGCAAAGACAGACTACTTCATCGCCTTTCCATCTTTTGTAGTTCTGTCTTCCTCAATTCTTCAGAACTCATCTTCTTTCATTTTTTATGCCATCTCATCCCGGTAAATCATCATCTCTTCTTTCTGGCCCGCCTTCATCCTCCTGGTACATCGTCATCTCTCTTTCTTTTAGTAATCATTTTTAGTATGAGCTAATCGATTTTCGAGGGCTGGAATCTTAGCATATGGTTTTTGTATTGTTTTTGGTTTTTATTCATAGCCCCACCTTCATCCTGGTAGATCGCTATCTCCTTCCTCTTATTAACGATTTTTATTATGAGTTAATCTTCCGAAGCTGGAATGTAATCGCATGTTTTTGTATTGTTTTTGGTTTTTATATTTGTTTCGGAAAACTGGAATCCATTTTATTTTGGTTTTCTTTAATCCACCTGCCTCATCACTTTTAACTTACTTTTATAGTTTTGTTGTACCTTGACTACCTTCATTTAGGATATTCAACATTTTTCTTGAAGGTGGCAATTGTGACACCCTTTAACTTTCCCTTGGAGATTCATATACTTCAGATGATGGGAGCAGTACACACGAGACATAAGCATGTTCTTAAAGTTGATAGCAAGGTTCTAGCGGAGGTGGAATATTGTAGGATGCATTTTGAAACCCATATCTAAATTTAACCAACCCAAGTAAAGTGATCAAGATTAGAAGCTTTTGTTTTTTACAGTCTGAGTAGTCTTTGAAAGTCTAGAGCTAGGCTTGGCCTTTATGGATCTAAATGACAAACTATGGCTGCTATGGGTATGATAACATCACTTAATGGAATACTTATGGGCATTGTGAAAGAATAGGGGTTTCATTGGAGTTCTAAATTGCTAAACAATAAACAAAATCATGACATGTACGGTAGAATATAAACCTCTATACCACTAGCAAATGCATCTAAAAGATTCCCAATTCCAATCCAAACCCGACAACCCAGAAACAGAAGCAGAGAAACGATGATCAGAACCACGTGTCCGTCCAATTAGGTTCGGCTCCCTTACAGTCGAGACCTCCGTCGAGCAGGAAGTCCAAAGTCGTCAATCTGCAAGGATAAAACTTTGCCGCAGCCATGGAAGAGCAATGGGCCAATGGCCTATTAGGCGTAAAATAAAAGGGCAAAGAAGTATTATAGGTGTTAAAACGTACATTAATAACTTCCATCTCAAAAAGTAACTCTTATGTTACTTCTTTGGCTGATAAGAAAAAACAGCCCAGCATGTGTTTGGCAACATTTTTTCATTTTAACGCTTTTCAGCCAATTTTAAGGGCTCCAAACGGCCCCTAAGTATGGCAGTTCCCTATCGAGATTCAGTTTTTGATGAAGATGTAAACTTGGGAAATGCAAAATAATTCATTTTGTTGAAATAATTTTGAGAGGTTTTTATCTTAAAATTTGTGATATACAATGAGTATGGAAATTTAAAAAAAAACCATCATCTACAAGGACAGGTAGGAGTGTTTATGATTTTAATCATTTAATAACTTATATTTTAATTTTATTTATGTGCAAATTTATAATTTGTATATATCTAATTATATTTAGAGGGTCTACATTTTACATCCCGTGCAACGCACGGGTGAGATACTAGTTATTATTATTATAATGACTAGTCTTCATCTACATTCGGAAACTTAAATAACTTACTTACGTATTTGTTATTTAAAACAATGATTGCCTTAAAATTCGACTCATATTTTGCTCTAGATTTCTCATCCAATTTAATATAGTTGCCTATGCAATACATAGCCTAATCCAATGATTGCCTTAATAGTTCCCCTCATATACATGGAAAATAAACATAATTGTAATCCCAGTGCCTTTAAATTCTTTCTTTCAATGTGCAATATACGTTTAGCTCATGTATAGTTCATTTTTTGCTCCAGATTTTCTTACCCAATTGAATATGGGTTCTATTTCATATATATACATGTTTATAATAATTATTAGTCTTCATATATATATTTGGAAAGTTATGTCACAAGAGTAATAATTGCGAGTCTTCATGTTTTTTGGAAACTTAGAGTAACTTACCCTATTTATAGTATATTAAGTACAGATATCTAAGGTAACTTCATATACATTTATCACTATAATATATATAGTATAGATTTACTTTTCTTCAGATTTTCTTATCCAATTTATATACACTATTATATAGTAATTATATTGTAATATATTCACAATACAAATGTTTATTATATAGATTACTTCTTTAACTTGCAATACATATAGGCTCTTCTGCCAATTCAAGCCCACAATGGCTTCTTCTGCCAATTTCGATTCCATTGCCGAAATTTCTGTCGTGAAAGATAACTGGAATATACGGGCAGCTCTGGTAAGACTCTGGTTCGATCCAACTTTTTCGATCCATGTGTAGGGGTGCAAAATTCAAGCCTCCATTCGAAAAGCTTTATTTTGTCATTTTCAAAAATCTCTCGAGCAAGGTTCAATATATTATGTTTGTTCATTCACACTAACTTCCAATGCGGGAGATTTCAGAAATTCAGACTGTGCCCCATAAATTTAAATATTAAATAAACTTTCAAATGGAGACAAAAGGTTGTTAAAGTGGAAGGCCAAATTGCTCCTAAAATGTACTCCTTCGTGCCTTTGATTTCAGTTTGTGAGGGAGAAATTGAAATGGAAGTTTTAGCTGGTAAGTTATTGAGAGATTATTTTTAAAATTTAAACTTGCTAAGACATTAAATATATTGAATTTTACTTTAATCTTTTTAAGATGTAGTTGGAGTCCTAAAACACTATGGTACTGAAAAGGAGACCGAGAAGGATGACATCAAGAATAGGAGAAATTACATTGTATTGCAACTTGACGGCTAATGTGCCTTCTACTTCCATATTTATATACAATCCATACAAGTATTCATATTATATTAATCGATGTATTAAAAATATATCCTAACCGTAATTATTACTAAAAAAGTTAACTTGGGGCAGAAGTACGTTGTTGTTTATTTCTTATGTTTGTGCAGTTGCAAAATAGACTGCATGTTGTTTGAGCCTTAAGTCGATGAACTGAACGCATTCATTGCTTCTAGGAAGCCAATCAATGTTCCTGTCATTGTACAACTCACCAGAGTACGACACTATGAAGGTAATGATAAGCTAAACCTTTTCCGTTAACTAAATCGTCTTTTGAAAATTGTAATAGTAATTTTTTTAAAGTACAGAAATATAAGAAATTGAAGATCACCTAAATATGATACTATTAGCCCACATGTCACTACAATATTTATTCTTATTTAAAGTCTAATAACATTAATACCTTTATCACTATTTCTGTTTAATTATTATTTCTGTTTATTGTATAAATTCGGTTTCCTATATAGATTATAATAATAATTAGTCTTCGTATACTTTTTGGAAAATTAAATAATTTGCCATGTTTACTGTTACCATAACAAGTTCCTTCATATAATTTGGAAAATAAAGTATCTTACAATATTTGTATTATATTAATGATTGTCTTCGTATACATATATGGTTGTAATATAAGTACATTTACTTTATTCATATTTATAGTTAGTATATGAATATGAAAGACACAATCCTCAAAATATGCTAAACCCCGTGATATTTTCTAATTACTCTTATTTCATACCCTAAATCATTGAAGTCCAACTATTTGAAAGATTATTTAATAATAACATTAACGTGGATGTCTTATTAATTTTATCTCTTTGGCCATGTTTGTTTAATAGCGGTTGGGATGCAAAAATGCTACATCATGCAGCGTTTCCAGTTATAAACCATCAGCGTTTTGGAGTGAAATGCCAGCACCCAAACATCCTCTTTGTTGTTATGCCTTGCACAGGGAAAATTAAGCTACATAATGTATTATACTGTAGAAGAAGAGCTCGGGTCATAACACAAATGTGCAACGAGAGCAAAAAACCTAGCGACCGTCTTCCCTCTTTGTAAGGGTTGAGATTTCCGCCGCCACTATCAATATGGAGTTGGAGTGGTAAATTATACTGATTTTAAGTGTTCTAATGCTTGTGATTGCAGCCACATTAACTCTTCGGAGGAGATAACGTTGGCGGATAAACGGGTTGTGGATGGGAGTTTTTATCGGTGTTGGATCATGCAGCCTTGGTCAGCCGCTCTAACGATGATGGAGTTAGTATTTACCTATATTGCAAGAGCTCATTCTCCTCCGGAACCACCTTCGTACCAGGAAGAGTTTTGTGGAAACACTTTATTTCAATATTATTTTTTCTTTAGTAGTACTTGTTTTTGTTTTTGTCCAAGTAGGTTTGGTTTGGATGTTTGGATTTTTGAAGTTCTCTTGATAGGCAGAGTTTCATTTCCGATCGCTTTAAGCTTAAATTTGCCTGTTTCAAGTGTAGCGAGTCAAGTTGCTTTGTATGAGGTGACTGACTTTATGTCTACTCCTAGGATTCACGATTGGATCTGTAAAATGCAAGCTGACGTTTCATCTCGAATTGATCTGTGTGAAGGTTGTCTTGTATGTGTTCTCTGTTTTAATATAAAAGTCGCTTTTTATTATAAAAAATGCATTATACTTTATTAAAGTAATATTCGGTCCAAGTTGCAAAGAGTCACGTGACTATATGACTAGGTATTAAAAAATATCATGTATACCGTTACACATTATTTTGAACGATCACATTTTCCCCTATATATTGAAAGAACGTGTATCATGTGTGGTTAATTCACATTATGAAATTATTAGGTGTGACATTATGAAATTTTGTCACTGCTCCCTCATCAAACATCAAGAAATTCAGAAGAAGTGATTCTAGTTATTACCCCCAAAAAATTATTCTCACTCTCAAAGACTGTCAAAAGGTTTTGACTAAAATTTATATATTCATATGGACTAAGCAAATATCAATATTTAAAATATTTATTCATTTATTTTAAAATCTATTATTTCATTTAACATCTATGACATTTATTTAAACATTTAAAATTTTCAAAACCGAGTTAGCTTATATAAACACTTACTGGAAAGGTCGTATACGGTGTGGGTTATTTACATTATTACCATCATGGCAAAATGATGATTGGTGGTACTTGGCACACCTTTAAAATTGATTTGTGGTCCCAGATTCAAAGATGTATTTCTGTGACAATTTCAAAAAGTCATGTGTTGACATGCTTGAAGATTTGGAAAAGGTGTCTTATTTTTATTCAACAAGAAAGCACAAATAAATCAAATTCAGACATTATTAAATGATTTATTTTTCTTCTACAATGACATTCAATACTTCTTCCGAAGAGTGGTTCTGGATTCTTGCCGCATGAAATAACTAACATGTTTGACAAAGAGTGAAAGAGACCATTTTCAAGGTTGAATTCAGAAAGCCAAAAAACACGACTTTCCATAAAACATTTCCTATTATATGTATTTCCACAGATGCTGTCATGATTAAAGAGTTCAAGGATTTGCACTTCACGCATATGGTAATAATAATAATAATAATAATAATAATAATAATATTGGATGATTGAAATTTAACGTAATATATGAAGGTTTGGTTGGTTTGCTAACTAATTGTTTCATTTTTATCATAGAGCTCAATATCAGCAAGCTCGAGCTCAACTCATAAAATAAACACTCTCTCTGATGATAATGTCATATATGAGGTTATAAATTAAATAGTATGGTAATTTATTTATTTATTTATCCATGTTCGTGTTACGGAACAAATTTTGTCATATAAGGTGAATAAATAATTCTTGAACTTTTATGGTTCAAGTTCAACAAATTTCACTTCAAAAGTCTCATTTTGAAGAAATAAAAAAGTAAGCATCCACAAAATATGGTAAATTGCCATTACTATTTTTCTTATTAAGCTTACTTTACACCCTAACTCATTAAAGTCAACATAATAATTACATAAATGTGTAATATTTTAAACTTGGTATTTTATCTCCATTTAAATTCAAAAAAAATTACTTCACACAAATCATGTGCGTGCACATCTATAATTTACATGGATAACATTAATATCAAAAACAAAAAAATTAAAACATATTGTTCAACACTATCAATTCAAGTTACTCCTTTTTCCATATTTGAGTGCTTACAATAAATATTTCCCGATTTACAAATAAAAAGTTCAAAATATAGAAAAGTAAGAATCCCTTAAATATGGTAACCTACACTTCTCCATATAGTTAGTACTAGACGATGTACCCGTGCGATGCACGAGAATATCTAAAGTAAAATAGTTATTTAAAATTATATTTTATAATGATGACCTATAATAAGTAATTTTTATATAGAAGAAAAATATAAAATGAAAAACATAAGTCGTATGAAGAATTGAAAGAAAATTTGACAAAAACACATGTTAATTGTAAGAATAAACAGTACCTGACAATGAAAAAGTCGTGATAATACAATGTGAAGTGTTTATTTCGTTAGCAAATTTTATAATGCTGGACAATCCTTTTTAAATGTTGCATAAAAATTATCATAAGTTTTTTAGATTACATTTTTAGTGGCCAACACTACACAACTCTCATCTTTGCATATTAGAATTTTCTACTCACTTCTTGAGGTGGCTCTGGACATAGAAAGATACATATTGCTCTGCGTAAAAACAGATTTTGTAAGATAATGTCTACTTTATGCAAAGATTGTCCATGACTGGGAATGACCTACATTGAAACTTGATCGAACTTCTATTATGTGACGACTGACTGACGGGACCAAATTAAAAATAATCACGGGATTAAAACTTTTTGTCAAATATTTTTTCTGTATATAACTTTCGCCTCTAAAACATTTTACCCATGAGAAAAGTAAGGCATGTCCTAGAAATTACATACTCTAAAAGATTGATCAATGTTTCTCATGAACATAATAGGAATTCTAATTACTTTGAATAATGAGGCACGAGTTTAAATAACTACTTCCATTGGTAACTATTTTACTATTTAGTATTTACTTTGAAAGTTTGGTAGATAAAAGCTTTCCATGCTTTTTTATTCTAGATTGATAGATTACAATAACTTTCTTGTAATACTTGACAATTTATTGCAGATAAAAATTAATTTCCCAAAGCGAAAAGAAATCAAATCAAGGTAATTTAACAAATTGGTTTAGCATGGCGTTTTTTTTATATCAACTTTTACTTGAAAGTATTAGACTGAAGTATAGAATACACAGAGTGGTAACAAAAAATATAGGATAAATTATAGTTTTCAGTTTTAAAAAGGGCTGAAATATACATTCACTTGAATGTAATACTTTTATAAATTAAATTATTTTATATAAATATCAATTTCAAATTACTTGTTAGCATTAAGTTAAATTAAGATAAAATAAAGTTAATAGAAATGAAGTCGAGCTTAGAGTATCTCCAATGCTACAATATGCACGGTGCACATGTGATATGAGAGAGATAGACAGAAAAGATTAAATTCATGACATTTATCTCTCCTTCTTTTCACGGCCTTTTTTTTGTAAGTTTTTCTCAATAATGTCAACCACAATGTCAACATTTAGACATTGTTCTTGACATTGTGGAAAAAACTGACCAAAACATATACAACCATTCAAATAAGAAGAGATATATTACATTTTTTGTTTTTTAATTGGTTGTTTCTCATGCTATGTATGCACCGTTCACGTTTTTGCATTGGAGGTGTTCTTACAGTCACTTCAAACTACCCCGTATTTAACTTAGAATTAAAAAAAATACTATCTTGTCCCGAAAAGGTTTACCATATGATGAAAAACTTTGGACAATGATTTTAATTATTATATTTGTAAATAATTTAAAAATATTATACTTGTATGGAAATATTTTGAATAAGGAAATAATACTTGTAATATAATTATTATACTTGTAATAATTTAAATATAATTATTATACTTGTAAATAATTATTATATTTGTGAATAATTTAAAAATATTATACTTTCATGTTCAAAATAATTTTGTATTAAAAAATATCTTTAGTCAATGTTGATTGTCATTGACCAAAAAAAATAAATTTGGCAAACTTTTTTTGGATGACATGGAGTACGCATTTGATGGATGAGAATATACTTCATCAGCATTTTAGGGGAAGTTTTGCAGGAAGCTCTACTGAACTGGTAGCCATTCAGATGCTCATAAGGCTATGAATAGTGTAAATTGCCCAGGTGGATGCTCCTAGTACACAACTTTGTCAGATGGTATTAGACACATGATGACATCTGTCGCTAATATTTCTATCCAATATGTGCAACGATCAGCGAATAAGGTTGCTTATTCATTCGCTAGGCAAGCTATTTTGGGTCTGATTGTTCTTGATTTGAGATTTCTCCATTTTGTATTCGCATCCTATTGAGGGATAATTATTAATGAAACTTAGACTTGTTTTTGCAAAAAAAAAAAACACAAATTTATTAAATTGAATAATCATACATTTAACAAAAATGATGGTATTCAAATTTATTAAAGAGAAATTGTCCTTAATATGACTAAAACTAAACATAAATGCACAAATAGGACTCTAGTTTTTTTATTCACTAAATAATACTAAACTTTACCTTTCTGCCCCAAATATAATTAATCCCCCGGTTCATTTGCATACCCAAGGTCAATCCCTTGGTGGAAAAGCAGGGTAGCAGACACGTGCTGGCGGCAACCCAACGGTGGTAATCTGGTGGTAGACGATTTATGGTGATAAGCGGCAGCGGCAATGGCAGAATTCCGGCGATCAGTGACGGTAGAAGTCTGATGGCAATCCAAACCCTCCTAGGAGTATTTTTGTCTATAAATATAATAATTATTCTTATTTAGAGAATTTGACTTATTTTTGCATTTCGATATGATTAATATTTGTACATTAGCTTTTAGCATTGATTTGAATGCATGTTGGTTATTTACATTTATTAATATATTGATTAAGCTGATGATCTGATTTCAAACAAAATTTTCGCAATTTATGATCAAAATTAGAAGTATTTATTCCCATCATTAATTACAGGATTGTCTTGAGCAAACCTTTCCATTTGTTACCTTTGTAATAACATCCATAATATAAGGTTGTGCCAATAGCTAGCCACTTTTAGTGATATATTAATACCGACATGAAGTTTTAATAAAATACGGAATATATTAATTGCCATTCGTATTAATACAATATTAATTTCCACTTATACCCTTCAAATGAGCGGGAATTTTGCCTCCAAAAACTGTAGCAACTTTGCTACTTTATATTATATAAGATAAGATAAGATGTCCTGGACCACAATCATAGTCATTATATTGTTATGCTATCTTCATTGATACTTTCCTTTATTATGGGTAAGATTCTAAGCACCACTTCGATTATATACCTTATTCATTTATTAACTATGTTTTACTACCTACTTCAAAACAAAACACATATTCAAACACATATTCACTAATACACTAGCAATTTAAAATTGTTTTGTGAGATGAAAATTCAACACCATTATCATACACCATCAACTTCATAGAAGAATCGACTTCAACAACTGCTCGGAAGAATAGAAGGCTTGAAATGCGCTCTAAATCTCCAATTACAA